AGAGTGGCGATAGATACCAGAGGGTGGAGGGAAGGTGGGGTAGAAAGTGGGAAGCTATTACAAGGATCTACATATAACCTCCTCCCTGGGGGACAGACAACAGAAAAGTGGGTGAAGGGAGGAAGACGTCGGAGAGGGTAAGACATGACAAAATATTAATAATTTATACATTATCAAGGGTTCATATGGGAGGGGGAACAGGGAGGGAGAGGGAAAAATGAGGAGCTGAGACCAAGAGCTTAAATGGAGAGCAACTGTTTTGAGAATGATGAGGGCAACGAATATACAAATGTGCCTGACACAATGGACGGATGTACGGATTGTGATAAGAGTTATTTGAGCCCCCAATAAAATGACTTTAAAAAATTTTTTGTTTTGTTTGTTTTCTCTAATTTTTCTGTTTTCTTTTTTTCTGTCTTTTAATTGATTTTTGAACTTTTTCCTTATTTTCTCTTTACTTTTAAATATATATAAATCATTTTATTAGGGGCTTTTATAATAATCCATACATAAATTGTATCAAGCACATTTGTACATATGCTGCCATCATCATTTTCAAAACATTTTCTTTCTACTCTAGCCCTTGGTATTAACCTCCCTCTACCACCCTCATAAACCCTTGATAAATTATAAATTATTATTTTCATATCTTACACTGTCCACTGTCTCCCTTCACCCACATTTCTGCAATGGGGGTGTGTTATACATCAATCATTGCAATTGGTTACCCTTTTGTCCCCCACCTTCCCTCTACTCTTATGGTATTGCTCTTCCCATTACTGTTCCTGAGGGGTTTATGTGTCCTGAATCTCTTATCTGTACCATTGTACATGCTCCAGTCTAGCCAGATTTGTAAGGTAGAACTGGGGTCATAATAGTGGGCAAGGAGGAAACATTACAGAAGTAGTGTGTTTCATTAGTGCTATACTGCACCCTGGCTGGCTTCCCTTCCATGTGACCCTTCTGTGAGGGGATGTCCTTTTGTCTACAGATAGGCTTTGGGTCTCCACTCCTACCCCCTATAACTATGATTATTTGTTTTGGGTTTTCTGATGCCTAATACCTGATCCTGTCGACACCTCATGACCACACAGGTTGGTGTGCTTCTTCCATATGGGCTTTGTTGCTTCCCTGCTAGATGGCTGCTTGTTTAACTTCCAGACACGATATATTTTAATAGCCAGGCACCATCAGCTTTCTTCACCACATTTGCTTATGCACCCTTTTTGACTTCAGCGATCCTGTCGGGAAGGTGAGCATCACAGAATGCCAGGTTATTAGAACAAAGTGTTCTTGCATTGTGGGAGGACTTGAGTAGAAGTCCAATGTCCTTCTACTACCTTGATACTTAACCTATAAATATATGTGCATAGATTTATATCTCTATCGTTATAGATGAATATATTTACATATATTCATGCCTACACTTTATAGAGCTTTTGAATGTACCTCTGTGACATATTTTTTGTGACTTAACCATATATACATGTAGATTTATCATAATCTACTATTGTTGTCATTTTACCACTTGAAATTACTTCTCTTTTTCCCCTTTAACCTCCCTCATTTATAATATTATTTTAATTACTTTCTCTACATCCAGTTAGGACAATATTTGATACTGTTTTATATATATATATTTGCTTCAATGATCAACCATAATTTAAGAAACTCAAGAGAAGAGGGAAAATTCATTGTTTTTACTCATGGTTTTTTTTTTAACTCATGTTTTACTTACTACATTGTTTTCCTTCCTCGTGTTCCAAGATTCTTTCTTTTATTATTTTATTTGTTACTGAAGAACATAATTCAGCCATTCTTTTAGGGTCATATTGCTCTTGACCAATTCTCTTAGCTTTTCTTTTTCTGACTGTGTCTTGATTTCCCCTCATTCCAAAAGATTTTCTTCCTTTCTGTCCTCCCCCTAAATTGACTGTTTTTTCTTGTAGCACTAAAAAATGTGGCTCTTTATTCTGGCTCCATAATTTCTGGTGAGATATCTACTGTCATGCAAATTATATAATTAAAATGTTTTTCCTTTATGAGTAAAGATCACTTCTCTTACTATTCTAAAGATCTTTCTTTCTTTTGCTTACATTTTGAGTTCCTGAGTTTTATGGATGCCTCCACTCACCCCCACCCCCCCACCACCCAGCTCCATTTAACTGAGAAGCCTCTCCTCTATAAAACACATACAAATACAAATCTCTGGGTCAGTAGTTTTTGAGTATTTGAGTACTCCATTGTTTGTAAAAGACTGTATGGCCGGATCAATACCAGGCTGGCTTCTAGCAGCAAGTGACCTTGAATCTCCCCCACCCATGTGGAGCTGACCAAAGCTGGCTGAAACAACTAGCAGCGAGTGGCCTTGAATGTCTCACACACACACCTGTGGAGCTGACCAGAGCTGGCTATGTAAAGCAGCTTCACAAGTTTTCTTTCTTTCTTTTACTCATGGCCCATTTGGCTCAGTGCCCGCTTTGCTCTCGGCCTGCTGCTCTGTACCCAGCACGAATACACCTGGAACCAGGAAAACACCTTACATTCCAGAAACCCGGTATCTCCTAATCCCTGGCTACTTTACCTTATATGGACTAAAGGCAGCCCAGTCACATGTTCCCCAGCTATATAAACACCACTCCTATAGTCTGGAGTGCGATTCCCTCGGCCCAGACACTGTGGACCATGGAACTTCGCCCAGGCTGGGATTTTCTCCCCAATAAAGCCTGTTTGCTCTAATTCAACGGATTTGGTCTCTGGTGCCTCTCAACTACCTTACAAAGACAACTTCACAAAGTTGTCTCTTTAAAACTCAAAAAATTCAAACTCACTGCCATCCAGTGACAGCGACTCCTCAGACAGGGTGGAACTGGTGCTGTGAGTCTCCAAGACAACAACCCTTTAAGGGAGTAGAAAGCCTTGTCATGCTCTCAGAGAATTTGCAAGCTGCATTGGCCCTGATAGCATAGTGCAGTTGTCTTATAGGTTTGACAAATTCATTGTGTAAACTTTCCACACCTGTAAATCAAAAAGTAAGCAAAGTTTTCAAGCAGTGTTCAAGCAGAACTTTAAAACCCCTCTTTTGGCCTTAGTCAAAGGCATTATTACATCTTTTATAGCTCGCCAAATCCAAATTATCCCTGTCAGGGAAACCAGTCCCTAACAAATCATCACAGGTCCAGTAGGTGCAATTGTACAGCGATAATAAGTAAAGATTCTACTGAAGTCATAGAGAGCATGAGAGATAGAAGAAATATTGAAATAATGGAGTCAGACACATTTCATGGTAGCATGCTCACCTCAGCCCCACTTGGTGGTCCACGTGGAGATATGGAAGGTGGGAATTGCAGGAGTGAGCGAGAGGGGGGAGAGGATGGGAGAGAGTCTCTTTATTGCTAACCAAGACTTATATCTCTTTGGGGGGGCATATAAGTCCCCTAATTACAGGTAAAGACATGTCACAGGAAGGGGTTGTGCTATAGCTAATACAGTAATGGGAGGGGGTGATCTAGAAGTATCCATGCAATAAGAGGGGGAGGTGTTGGTGGTACGCATGTGACAAGATGGGTGGATCCTAGATTCAGGGAGGCAGCTTAATTTTGGATGTTGCTGAGCTGGTTTGACCTGTTCTCTGGCTCACCATAGAAACTATTATCAGTAGGGTGTGAATCCCACCTGCAGGGATCCGACTGAAGGCCTCAAGCCTTTAGGGAGAAGTAGCCCATTGTCCTTAACAGCAGGGAGTGGGCCCCTCCTGTGGTGGGATCAGGCAGTAGTCTGGCAACCGACTGCCTTCAGGGAGGATGTCTAAGCATCTGACCTCCCACCATATGCTGTCAAATAGCCTCTAATGTTTGCTAACTTTGCTTCCTGGCTATCTCTAATTCTCATTGTCCTTTTTCCTCCTAATTAATGAAAAGTTCATCGTTCTGCCTAGAGTCTGGCAAAATAGACCACCGGTGGGCAAACTGTGGCTACATCTTTTCCCCATTAGCCTTTTCCCACTCGCCATTCTGTCTCCTCCAAGAAATTTGCTACATGTTACGGAGTAAATGCCCAACAAGAACCACTGACCACAAACCTGTAAAAGCTAAGAGTAAGTTTATTTAACAGGTAAAAGAGAAAGACAGAAACAGACAAGTTCGAACTCGGACTACAGCCTGACCACGCAGGATCAAGACTGCAGCCCCGAACAACTTTTAGCTCAGGGTTTTTAAAGGGGTTACATGGATGGGAACATCAAAAAATCCTCAGATAGATGAAACATTGACTATCTGTTTAAACATCTGTCAGGATATACGCAGTTTTGCAAGGATGCTAAAACCAGTGAGGTGAGAGGGGGGTCTGAGTAAGGAATGGGAAGGGTGTTTGCACAAGATAACAGGATGGGGGCAGTTTAGCCTGCCCAGCTTATCTTGGTCCCGGTGGGCTTGTAAAACTTTTTAGCTGACTTAACTAGCTTAGTTTGCAGAGTCACAGTGGCTTACTTTTATGACTTATTCCCCGTCTACTAGAGATAACATTCTCTTCTTAGAGCCGGTCTGATCTTAAACCTTTTCCAATCTTCTCCGGCCACCGACATTGTTCCTCTGGTAACAGTTTAACAACTTATGTGCACAATTATTTCGCCAAGTCATTCTGACCTGCAAAACTCTGTGGAAAGAGAACTAAAATGGCTGTAAGGGGAAATGGAGTTAGATAGGGATAAAAGAAATTTAAGTCTAACAACATATACTGTAACACTACACAGGGGAGCGCAGCCAGAAACACCTCGAGTTAATTACGCATTTGGTTTTGAACTAATTTTTTGGACCGATCTTTACTACTAATAAATCTTTCTCGACTCCCTTCCCTCAATTGAAGGTGGTGGTCTTGATCCACCTTTTAAGAAACTTTGCGAATCTAGCTAAGAGATGGAAGTAGAGTTTAAGAAGAGTACGGTAATTGGGGGTAAAAGAAGCCCTATAGTTGATAAGAAAACCATCTGGAATTTTAAAAGCTGCCTGAACAGGGACTTGAACCCTGAACCTCAGATTAAAAGTCTAACACTGTACCAACTGAACTATCCAGGCCCCACATGTGAATATTGGTCATTGAATAAAGGATGTTGGAAGAACTGATGCACTTGAATTAGGGTTCGGTAAAGAATTTCAAATATACCATGGTATACATTTCATGGTACATCCCCAATGCGGTCCACGCTAAGGTCGATATGGCAACATGTTAACAAATGGCTAGAAAGGAAGGAAAGAGGTGCTGGTTCAAAGAGGAGAAAAATGACGAACAAAACAAAACATCAATTAAATAAAGAAACAACAAACCAAGCTTAATCATCTAACTAAAACTAGTGAACCCCCGAGACTATGGTCCTTAGACACTCTTCAGGCATGGAACAGAATTCACCCCAATGGCTGAACTTTCAACCAAACAACAGACAACAGGCCTTGAAGGGGAGCAGTACTCCTATGAGCTGCATATTCCTTAGTCCAATGAACCGAGCGGAAGGAAAGGGGCAGCACTGCCCCAGGGAGAAAGTTCCTCAGAGTGGAAGAAACAGGAAAGGAGGAGGGAGGGATGGAGGAAATGCAGGGAGGAAGTGAGCAGGGTGCTGTTATGTTGTGGATGTTACAATCAATGGCACAAGACAAAATTAGTATGCATAGAGGAATGGGTAACCTATTTGCTCTGCAAACTTTCACTCCACTCACATGTAAAACAATTAGAAAAAAAAAGTTGTTGTCGCTGCGGTGACTCCACGTCATCCGGTGACCTTAATGGAAGCAAACAACCAGGATTTTTCTTCTGCGGGAAGCATCCATCTTGAGGTTGGCAGTCAAGTGCAATGGCCCCCACTGGTCAGTGGAGAGAGTAACCCCAAAGCCAAAGCCATTGCCGTGAATTCATTCCAAGACAGAGCTGTGACCTTCAGGACAGTGGGCCACTTCTTTCTTCCTCAGAGGGTGAGACACTGGGTTTACTTTGCAGAGCTGATAACCTTTATCCCACCTAACTCTTCCATAAGGATTACGGGCAAGGAAACACCATGAAGCAGTTCTATTCGGTAACCCAAGAGTCGAATGCCCAGGCAGCGCCAACAGGGCATTACTTACTACCCCACTACTCCAGGTCAAACTTTTTTTGTTCTCCTGCAGTGAAAGTCCCAGTTTCCAATCGTATCAGTCTAGGAACTCATTGTTCTCAAGCCTAAATTTTACATAAAATAATATCAGGATTGTTTCATCCAACACACTATTTTAAATGAAACACAAATCTGCTACTTCGGGTTAACACAGATTTGTAATTCCTTTTATCTGATAATAAGGACATAGCACTGAGTGATATGTTTATTTCGATCTGTTCTCTCTCTTTTCTCCAAGGTGGAATTGCAGCATTAAAAAAAAGTCTGTCATATTTTTTGTCTCCATTTGTATTCAATTTTAAAGTATAAATTTGAGTTCTTTGTATTTCTTTTATTGCCTATGTAAAGTATTAATATATTTCCAGGAGTCAAAAGAGTGCAGAAGGTCCTATTCAGCGACTATATCCTGGTTATATCCTGGGACTCACCCAGAAAGGGAACAGAAGCAATGTCTTGGAAGACCATCACGCATGAACAACATCTCTCTAGCAGTTAAGGTATCCTTTTCTGGGTGTATCCATCCATGCCCAAGAGAGTGCAGTGCAGGGAGTTCTGAAGCAGAGAAGTTAGACATAAAATGATCTCTTGGTAACTTAGTCAGCAGCAAAGCACTCAATAGTATCCCCAACCATGACAGCTGTAAGGGAGTGTAGTTTCATGGTACAGTGTGTGCTTAGCATGCACAAAGCCCTGGGCTCAGTCCCCAGTCCCTCCAAGGTTTCCCTGTTTGTTTCAGTATACCAATTAATGCCTCTTGGAGAAATAATTCCATGTTTAAGTGTTGTACTTTAACTTTTGACCTGGAGACTAATAAAACCTAACTGAATCAATCTGTATGAAGCAGAAGACGAACAAAACAGGTATTTGTGTTTTGAACGAAAGTGGGAGGAAATTTGTAAAGGACTTCCTTGCAGAGAAAGACTTTGGAGGCGGCCAGAGGCTGTTTTCTCCCTGGTAGAGGGAGGTTGGTTAGGGTGGAAGAGAGGAGCGAAACCAGGATATGTAGTTTTTCTTAGGCGCTGTAGAGTTGGTTCCAACTTAGAGAGGCCCTGGATTGCTCTGGCGAGAAATGGACCTGATGGGTTTGTTTTCCAATGTACAACAGAAGGAAACACCGCCCCGCCCAGCGCCATCCTCACAATTGTGATGTTTGAGCTGATTGCTGTAGCCATTGTGCCGATCCATGGTGCTGAGTATCTATCTTCCTCTTTTGCTCTGAGCAGGCATGATATCCTTCTCCAGGAACTGGTCCTTCTTGGTAATAGAGCCAAGTAAAACGGAATCCTTGCCTACAAAGTACAAACCGAACCCCACTGAGCCAACCTCCACTGGTAATGATCCTGAAGGCCAGAGCGGAACTGCCCACAGGGTGTTGAAAACCAGCCCCTGGGTTACTCAGCAGACACTTCATATTTAGTGGGAAAGAGTAAAAATTTACAGTTATTATGATTTGTTTCACACAAGCTCTTGATAGATCTGAAGTAGCTGTTGGGAGAGCTGTAGACTGAAGATCTAAAGGTCCCTAGGTCAATTTGGAGCCTGGAGCAATAGAAATGTTAAGCTTGTTTGTAATTTTACCTGCAGTAGATGAGCATTCTAATATCTCCACATCTTCTCCAGCATTTGTCATTTTGTTTTTGTTTTGTTGTTAAATTCTGCTACCAGTGCCTATCAGTTTAGGTGGCATCTCATTGTTTTAATTGACAAATTTGCACAACTGTTAAGGAAATCAGTATAGCTCTTCCTTAAATAAATTTGAATAGAAATACCATATAATTCAGCAGCCTCTCTACTCAGCTTATACGCCAAAGGTGGGGTGGGGGTGGGGGCAAGAGAGAACAAAACACAAACATATATATCCACATTCATGTTCTCACATAACTAACCAAAAAGATGAAACTGTGAAAAGCCAGAAGATGTAAACAACCAAAATGCCTGTCTGTGGAGGAATGGATGAACTTTGGTATACGCACACAAGGGAATATTGTGCATTGCTAAGGAACCAGGATGAAAGTTCCAAACACCTCATGCTATGGAAGAATTAGGAAAACACTATGCTCAGCCAAGCTAGCAAATCCCATAAAGACAAATACTATATGAGGCTACCATGATGAAAGAAAAATCATTTCACCCCCAGAAGAAGCCAACTTCAATGGTTAAGAAAGGGGGGGGCGGGAGGAAAAGATCATGGGGAAAAGGAAAAAAAGTGGAATTTTCTTACAAATATGGATAGAGCACCTTAAACAGGAAGAGAGGAGTCTGACTCATAAAGACAGAAGAGCATGGTGCCATTGAAGTATTGATCCGATGGTGTAGACCAGGATTTGGCCTTAACATCTCAGTAGCTACAAAAGAGACCTTGACAAATGAACTAAAAGAAAGCTCTTTTTGTAATCCCCCCCACCCCTCCCCTTGGCGTTGGGCTCTGTTCCACTTCTGCTGTCTTCCTCTTTCTCCAAACATATCCCTGCTTCATGCTTATGAAGTCCTAGCTGCCTTAACAAGCCCAAGTGAAGCGGCCCGCGGGGTGGGGGTGGGGCAGCAGGCAGGGAGGGGGAGGGGGGAAAGGAAAATGAGTAGCTGATTCCAGGAACTCAAGCGGAAAGCGAGGTTTGAGAATGATGAGGGCAACGAAGGAACATATAAGTGTGCTTTACACAATTGATGTGTGTGTGGATTGTGATAAGAGTTGCATGAGCTCCAATAAAATGATTTTTTTAAAAAGAAGGCCTCAAATACCCTACTTTCCGGAGCTCTTTTATACTTTACTAATATCTTTTCCCGTGAATCTTCTTTTCTTTTAAAAAAAATCATTTTATGAGGGGCTCATACAACTCTTATCACAATCCACACATACATCAATTGTGTAAAGCACATTTGTAGATTCTTTGTCCTCGTCATTCTCAAAACATTTGCTCTCCACTTAAGCCCCTGGCATCAGGTCCTCATTTTCTCCCCTCCCTCCCTGAATCTTATTTTCTATCAGCTTCTGATAAACAGTGGGGACAAGTCCTTTAGCTAGATGAGAGCCAAGGGGAGCATAGTTCAAAGGTTACCCAATTACATTTTATTCCCTACCTTTATATTTCCTCGATATGGAGTATGTGGGGTGTCCCGCAGCACCCACGGAAGCCCCCCCCACCCTGCGGGTGCTCCCTGCACAGCTGGAGGGGGTGCAGAGAATGGGGCTCACCCCACTCCCTGGTCAGCTTCTCCTGGCCTTCCTCCCCCAGCCCCCGCGCCCGGGCCCCGAGAACTCCCGTGTCCACGCTCCTGTGCCATGGACGCCCGTCGCCATCTCTGCGTCCCAGCTGGTGGTTTCAAAGGGACCCACCGCCGTGGAAGCCCTGCGCACCCGGGCCCCCAGCCTGGAGAGCGGCCGGTCCCCGTCGATCGGTTTCCCTGGCGCGTCGCTCCCGGGTCCCCGGCTCAGGTCCGGCGCAGGGTCCGCAAGGTGCGGGCCGCGAGGGACCGCGGGGGACCAGTCCCAGTGTGGAGGCTGAGCTTCTGAAAGGTCTTGGGAGAGCATCCTTTCCAACGTCAGTAGCTGGATAGACCGTGGCGCCTAATTTCGGCTAAAGGCCGAAAGCTCTTGGGAGATGGAGGCTTGACAACCTGTCCACGAAGGGCTTTCGTTCAAGTTCACGTCGCAGACGGTCTTCAGTCGCAGCGAGGTCCTCACGGCGGGAGACCAGCGTCTCCGAGAAGCATCGCGTGTCCCCTCCGTCCCCGAGCTGCAGAGGCCGCTGTGCGAAAGCCAGAGATCTCTTTTCAGATGCAACTCTGTGAGCCAGACGCTGGTTTCTGGTTTCGCCGGAGCTCCAATCCGGTTTCCCGCGTGAAAATTAAGGTTACACATAATGTCGATTTTACTGCTCTTTTAGACAGTAGAGGAGCCCCAGTGAAAAAGCTGTCTTTTGAACCAGCCACCAG